AAAAAGCCACTTCTCCCGCACAGCCAGGCATGGCTGGGAGAGACACGGGAGGTGCTGGAGCAGCTTGGGAGGAGTGCTTAGGCTCTGCTGCTTTCCCTGGAGCAGGAACCAGGCTGCCTTTGCGACGCAAATGTTGTTTCTGCAGGGGCTTGTTACTGCTAACGCCACGCCTCAGAGGCGAGCAGGCTCCTCTGCCTTGCAAGAGCGCACGTGCCGAGCTCAGCTCCACATACCCACACCTTTGCAGCGTCGCTAGCTCTCGGCGGGGAGAGCAAACAGCCTCGGACCTGAGCAGCTTTTTCCAGGACAGCCATGGAACTGAGCTCTTGCATTCAGAGTTCAGGACCGGAGCCAGGTCCTACACTGGCTGCTGGGCTCGTGCGCCGCTTTTCATAAGCCCTGCCCTGCTAAACACCAGCGCTGCGCTCCTTCAGGGTAAACCTGGGAGGTTTTGAGCCCCTTTCTTGCACAGGGAGTACCTGTAAGCGTCTTGTAGTGGCTCTCTGGCTCCCTGTCCCAGCTGCAGCCCCTGTCCTTGAGGTGCACAGCCGGGGTGCCTTTCAGTCTGACTCAAACAACCTGTGGTAGCAGGAAGGTGTAACTGTGAAATTTCTTAATGAGACCAAGATACCAAGTGAGAAGCAGGGGCTTCCTGGTACCGAAAGGGGGTCTGAACAGTGCTGATGGTCTGAGAGGAGATGAGTAGCACAGCCCAACAAATGCTCTTGGTAATTTCCTCAGGTGTTGAGTGGCTTTAAACCACAAATTGCACGTCCAGCCTGGGGAAGATGCTGAAATCCCATCAGGATCTGCTGCAGGATGGCAGAGAGGGGATTCACCCTCTTTCCACAACCCTCCTCATGGCTTTTCCTTTGCTTTGCAGTGCCTCAGCCCCCCACAATCACCAAGCAGTCTGTGAAGGACTACATTGTCGACCCAAGGGATAACATCTTCATTGAATGTGAAGCCAAAGGGAACCCCGTTCCCACGTAAGTGCAGCTGCAGCCCTTGTTACGCCGAAGCTGTTCAGTAGAGCTGGCTCAGGAGGAGCTCCCCTCCGGTCTCCGGTCGAGCTGTGCCACTTACACAATCAGTTAATCCAGCTGTTGGCTTGCACAGCACAGGTAAGGATCTCACCGGGTAAATATGGTCCATGGTTACAAAACCAACCTCTCCCTCATGCTTGCAGCTTTTCCTGGACGCGGAACGGGAAGTTCTTCAACGTGGCGAAGGACCCCAAGGTGTCCATGCGACGGCGGTCGGGGACGCTGGTTATCGATTTCCACAGCGGGGGACGGCCAGAGGACTACGAGGGCGAGTACCAGTGCTTCGCTCGGAATGACTACGGCACTGCTCTCTCCAGCAAAATCCACCTCCAGGTTTCTAGTGAGTAACGTCAGTGGTGCAGAGCAAGCAGCCAGCTGTGCCCCGAGGGGAGCAGGGACTACCTGCACTGTATGAGATTCTGTAGAAGGGGCATGGAGAATATCCAGTGCTCAAACATCTCAGCCTGCTTGGTCTGTTACCTGTGTTGGGAAGTACCCAGCCACAGGACCAAGATGCGCTGGTGAGGCGGCACCTGGAATGCTGTGTCCAGTTTTGGGCCCCTCAATACAAGAAAGACATTGAGGTGCTGAGGCATGTCCAGGGAAGGGCAGCGGAGCTGAGGAAGGGTCTGGAGCACAGGGCTGGTGGGGAGCGGCTGAGGGAGCTGGGGGTGTTCAGCCTGGAGAAGAGGAGGCTGAGGGGAGACCTGATCACTCTCTACAACTACCTGAAAGGAGGGTGTAGTGAGGTGGGTGTTGGTCTTTTCTCCCATGTGGTTAGCGATAGAACGAGAGGAAATGGGCTCAAGCTGCGCCAGGGGAGGTTTAGGTTGGAAATTAGGAGAAATTTCTTTACAGAAAGGGTGGTCAAGAATTGGAACAGGGTGCCCAGAGAGGTGGTGGAGTCCCCATCCCTGGAGGTGTTCAAAAAATGGGCAGAGGTGGCACTTTGGGACATGGTTTAGTCTAGTCTGCCCTTGATTGGTTTAGAGTAGACTTGATAGTGTAGGTTAATGGTTGGACTGGATGATCTTAAAGGTCTTTTCCAACCTAGATGATTCTATGATTCTATGATTCTATGATCTTAAAGGTCTTTTCCAACCTAAACGATTCTATGATTCTATGAAGACATGGGGGTCATGGCTGTAGCTAACAGGGAAATACTCGGTATAGATTTAAGGGAATCTTGCACATATAGAAATGAAGTTTGCATTGAGGCCGCTCCATTGAAACCAGGCCAGGTCCGGTGGGAAGAGATCTGCAAAGCTACGGCCCTCCCTTCCTCACACCGCGTCTTTGCTTCTTACGGCAGAGTCTCCCCTGTGGCCCAAGGAGAAGGTGGATGTGATAGAGGTGGATGAAGGCGCTCCACTCAGTCTGCAGTGCAACCCCCCGCCTGGCCTGCCCTCTCCCGTCATCTTCTGGATGAGCAGCTGTGAGTCGGGGGAGCCCCTTCCCACCTCGAGCCCCGCGGGCAGCCTTTCCGTCACCCGCAGTGCTTATTTAAAATAACTATGTTTAGGGTCATTACTGCTAGTTCAGAGCTTGGAGGCACCCGTATGTGGCCTGGGCCAGGGGTTTCTCCTTTGTGCAGCCGCCCGCGGGAGGATGTGACTTGCTCTGATCGCCGGTTCTCCCCTGCAGCCATGGAGCCCATCCATCAGGACAAGCGCGTCTCCCAGGGCCAGAACGGCGACCTGTACTTCTCCAACGTCATGCTGCAGGATGCCCAGACCGACTACAGCTGCAACGCGCGCTTCCACTTCACCCACACCATTCAGCAGAAAAACCCCTACACCCTCAAGGTGAAAACCAGTAAGTGTCACAGTGATCGCTCAGGATGGGTCGTCCCTGGCCTCCCTCGGGCAGGGTTTTCCTTCCAGTCACCTTGTTTCTGTTCTTGACAGCACTGAGACCTACCAGGGAGAAGAGTGGCTTCCTTCATTTTGTTTAGGATAGTACAGGAACCTGTTTGGATGAGGAATGATAGTCCTTGGACAACTAAGCTGGCAGGGAGGGGTGGCTGGGTTCCCTCCAGCATCCCAGAGCTTTGCATCTTCATGAGTCGAGGCTGCAGAGGTAGCTCGGTGCAGGTGTTGCTATGTCCATGTGTCTGGGATAAACTGGAAAGCATTTCAACACAGACGGGGTGTTCCCCTCATCTCTAGGGAAATGCATAATATCAAGTGATCTTTCCTGAGTTTGAAAAGCTGGAAATAGTCTTGGTTTGCTTCAGGCTTAGGTTTATGGAGAACGCCTGGCCGTGCTGGTGCTGCACGGGGGGACTGAGTGTGCGTCAACCTTGCACAGCTCAGGATTTACCTCCTGACCAGGAGCTGCTGTTTAGCGCCGTGGCTCTGGGACGTGCTGACAGGAGGGCTTGAGCCTTTGGGGTCTGAGCGTGTACACGTGGGACGTGCTCAGGATGGCCAGAGATCTCAGTTTCACCTTGGCGAAGAGCATCGTCTTGGGGGACAGGAGGAGCACGTGCGTGGCTCTCTCCAGGCACATGAAGAGCCTTTCCACGGGCAGGTCAGGCACCAGCAGTCTCTTCTCCAGAAAGGAGACTGCCTGAAGGAAGGCAAGCTCGTGATGCCAATGCGTTTCACGCCAGCTGGCTGAGGGCCTGAGCTGAGCGCTGCAGGACACGAAGCTTTTGAGTTGGTGCAGGTCCTGCAGAGCATGGGCTCTCTTTTGGGCTGCATGTGCAGAGCACCGGCACAATCAGCACCTGACACAGAAGCAGCGCCTACGGGTCCCAGTCATCAGGCAGGAGCTGTCTCGCGTTCCCAGTAAGGTCAGACTGGGAGGAAGGGGTAGCGTGTGCTGGCAGATGCAAGGCTGTGTTTTGGGGAGCAGGCTTTTGTCCAAAGCAGGCACGAGGCGCTCCTGAATCCCAGCGTTAGGAGCTTAATCTGGTCTCGCAGCAGCTTAAATTAGAAGTAACGCTATTAAAGTGTTCTGATAGCAGTGACCTAAAAGCGATGTGAGAAGCAGACGGGCCCTGGAGTGTTTTGCACTTTTATTGTAACAGCTTCTCCTCTGTGCAAAGCACGAGTGGAGAATCAGCAATATGAATACTATAAACGGGCTCTTTGCTAACGGCGAGGAATGTGTGTAGGTAATTCATTCTGAATATTATTTGTCTGTTTACAGAGCTGGCCGAACAATGCCAACGTTTACCTGCTAGGGAAGGACTGAGTCCTAATTTAGTGTGAGCTGGAGGGATTCTGGCAAGCAAAGATCTGTGGTCATTTGAGCCTCCAAAGGCTTTAGCCTGACATATTTGTCAAGCTCTAGAAAAGAATGTGGAAGAAATCCTGGAAGATTTCTGGGCAGAGAGATACAGGCTCCCCCTCCTGCTACACTCAGACACCACGACAGCGCTTCTCTCCCAGGCTGTGTAGAATTGGCTTCCAATTATATTGGACCCTCTCTTTAAGTTTTCCTTTGGAAAGGTCTGCTGCATTATCAGATGCAAATGCCACCCCATGAGCTCCCCAGAGGCCCTTATAATTTAAAGAACCAAGGCTCTAATTTCTCATCTGTTACGATACAAAAAATTCTTTATACGTACAGTGTTCAAAGGAGACGAGCTTGTATTTGTCTCAAGCGGTTCAATCATCTCAGCCTTAAGCCATGAGTATTGGCTGTCCTTAAAAAAAAAAAAATTCACCAGCTGCTGAAAAATCCTTGCATGGGATTGCCATGCTCTTGGATGTGAGAAGAGAAAACGCAAAGGCTTGGGGGAGCGATGCACCCGTGCCTTTCCCTGCAGAGTGTTTCTCTGGTGTATCCAGGTTCAGGTAGCTCTTGGGCATCTGCTGGGCTCTCTTAACCCCCTTGCACTGAGACACAGCATGTGGCTGATGACTTAAGGCTCAGGGCAACAACTATATGGTAGCCAACAGAGCCTCTCACATCTGCTGTTGGGCAGATGATACCGTGACACGGCTCTGCCACATCCTGGTGGAAACCGGGGCATTCTCCCACGCCACAGCAGTATTTTGGGTAACGGTGGGAGCTGAGGAGGGCAGATCCTCCAGTAGCCGCGGGCCAGGACTGGATGATCTTAAAGGTCTTTTCCAACCTAAACGATTCCATGATTCTGTGATCCCCGCAGAGCGCGGGGGCAATCAGCTCACTGCTTCAAGTGTAGGTGATGGCTGGCGGTGGTTGGCAATAAACAGGAGCAGCGTGGCATTGAAGAGCTGGTATTTTGCCTGTGACACAATCTACTTTAATTACCTGGTAATTAAAAGGGATTTTACAGCAGATTATGCTTTTAGAGCCTAATTATTATTATTATTATTTGTTCATCTTGGCCATGCCTTTCTGCATTGTCACGCTGCTGCCTAGCTGTGTCCAACCTATGCTTTACGATGGGAAAATGTAGCTGCAATATGTTTCCCTCATAGTTAAGAAACTCAGAGAAAAAACATTTTCTTCTCCAAATTGAACTGATTTTTTTTTTTTCACCCAAAGATACAAATGTCTTTATACCGAAAAGAAAAGCACTTCAAGGCAATGGTTATGATACAATTGTCATACATTTATTTGTCTTCCCATCTTCCAGGAGGAAAACAGCCCTCTTTTCCTCTCCTTTATTGCTGTGTTATGTTTGTCCTGGAAGGCAGCTGTGCTCAAGTGCTTTTGTATCCCTGCCGTTGCGTGTCCGTGTCCGCACCTCTCTTGTGTTTCGGGAAGTTATTTTGTTTTCCGTCCCCCATCCCCCCCGCACCGCCTGTCCCCCCGCCCGCTTTGTGGCACTCGGTACGCTCACGGTCTTTTGTTTATTGCAGAGAAACCCCATAACGAAACGTCTTTACGAAATCACACTGACATGTACAGTGGTGAGTCAACGCTGGCTTCTGGAGACCTTCACGATTTAACCCCCTTCCGCCTAACCTGACTTATCTCCTTCGCTAACCGGGCAGCGAGCGGCCGCGTTCGCAGCGTCGTCTGCCTCCGTCTGTGCCCACGCACCCCTGTGTGTGCCCCTGTCCCCGCTCGTGGGTTACAGCCTCGACTTTGCAAAACTGGGTGCGAGGAAAGAGCCAAACAGCGACAAAAATCCCCTCCAAGTCTTCCCAATTTAAAATTATTGAGTTTTCAGCTAATTAACTGGCTATGCAGAGCTCAGCTTGAGAGGCGTTTGGATTAATAGGACCTGGCCCACGTGAAAAAGTCTGCGTGGCTGAGCAAGCCCAGCTTGCTTCCTCGCCACAGAGGTGGCTTGTCCTCAGCAAAGGCTCATGATTTAAAGATAAGACCCACCATCCCTCTTCCGTCCTCAGAAAGAGCATCTATTGTATTTGCAGCTAAGCACAGGCAGCGACTGGGAGAAAAAAAAAGGGAAAAAAAAAAAAAGAGTATTTGGTTTTCTCAAAAGCTGGGTGCTTTGTTTCTTTGTGCCGAGGTTGTACATGTGTTGGATGCTTTTGCGAGGCTCCTGCCCTTTGTCTGGGCAGGGAGATTACCTCCGGAGCCTGTGTTTGCTGGGAGAAGCCCATCCCAAACTCATAAATTATGCTTTAGACACAAAACCGCGCAGCTCCCCGGGGCGCGATCGCTGCCCTGAGAACAGATTGGAAGTGTCACGGACATGATGGGATAATGCGGGCAGAGTTGGGCAGCAGCAGGGGTTTGTAGGGGAGCGGGGAGATGGGGCGGATTGCGGGCGACGCTGAGAGCGCAGGCGCTACCAGGGGTGCCAACGCCTGGCCAGAGACCACCACGGAGTCCGATTGCCCCAAGGCCAGGCGCCGTCATGGGCAGGATTTGCTTGCTGCCCCTCTCACTGCTTACGGGGCCGGGGCTGTGCGGCAGCCAGGTGGGAACAGCCCCGGAGATGCCCCGCGCTGGTCCCCGGCTGTGTCCGACAGCGAGATCCCGCTCCGCTTCCCACCCGGAGCCACAGCTTGCTTTGTGCCTCGCGCAACCCAGGGCACATTTTCTTCTTCCACGGGGACTTTTGGGGACAAACAGGGCTTTTGCCAGCTGAGAGCAGAGAGAGTTGGAGTGTGAGACGAGGAGGATGTGCCAGGCGAGGGCACTGGGTTCGGTGTCCCCGGCAAGAGCCCTCGTGCCGACGGGCAGCCCAGGCATCCATTCCCCGCCGAGGGAACCGGGGTGTTGGCATCTCACCGGCAGCCGGGAGTGGGAGGTTTCTGAGGATGCTGGAGAGCTGAGGAGGGCTCAGCAGAAGAACCAGCCTCAGAGGAAGTGCTGGTGGCAGCAAATGGGCTGGGCGTAGCCTGAAAATATTTGTAGAAATGACCGTGAAAGGGGGTAGCAAGCAAAATTATTTTTAGCATAAACTGCATCACGCCTCAACCAGAGGCGAGCAGGAGGAGATGCCTCCCTTGCAGGCACGCAGGGCCAGGGACCAAAGAGAAATTCAGTGGCGAGCTCTCCTGTAAATACATCTTGTACATCAGCAGTGTAAATGATGTTTGCTTTTCAAAGGGAATGTCTTCACGCTGGCTGGGCACCATCTCTGTGTTTGCAGCCCTTGCCGGATCAGGAGGGAAAGTCACCACAGTGGTCGTGGGCTTCTTGATCTCAGGGAACAGGGATGCTTACTAGTCACTTGGTTAGGAAAATGAGAGCTTATCTGCACTGTCTCATAGATTTCTCCAGATTTCTAGCCATAGGCGCGTAGGATAAACTGCCCGCTCTTTGCACTACATGGATTATTTGCACTGAATGTCTCCTGGAACATTTTATGGGTCCAGTGGGTTCAAATCACCCGCTCACGCCCCTGTGCAAATCTGAGCTCCAAACAAACAACTCCTTAATGAATTGGTAAAAAAAAAATTCTTAACCCTCAGCCCTTTTTTCTTTTTGCTAACCCCGTGTTTCTCCCTGGAATGAGCTGTCTGGCTGTACTGGCTGCTGGAGCCAGCTCCAGCAAAGCAAGGAGTCTTAGGGGCAGGGGAGCAGGGAAGAGGGACAGCAGTCTCCCAAGTATTTTAGGTGTTTGGGAGACCTGGGGCTCTCGGAGCCCGTACCCTGGGGTGCTGGTCCCTACGGTACGGGCTCAGCTCCAGAGCCAGCGGGCAAAGGGCTCTGCAGAGCTGGCAGGGAAGCTCGATGGGACGGGCTGGGGGTGCGCGGCAAAGCAGCGGGAGGCTGCGAGTCCCCTTCCCTGCCCGTCTGCGATGGACGCGCCCGAGCTCACTCGGGGACGTGGGGCCTGCTGGCGCGGACACGGGGCACGAGCGGTTTGTGGGACACTCCTCTCAAACCGCGCTGGAGGGCCAGGCTAATCGCGGGAGATGCAGCCAAGCCCTTCTCCCCACGGCTCGTAGCGGGTGCAGGGATTTCCTTGCTGCAAAGCTTAATTGCCTCGTCTGCAATTATGAAGGAAAAATGACCTAAAAGGATTAATTGAATATTTTATTCAGCAGAAGTTTCTCACCTTTTTTTTTAAAATGGAAATTCAAGTCTGGTTTGTTCTTTTTTTCTTTCCTTTTTTTTCTTTATTCTGGCAAACCTGCAGGATGTTTTAAAGCTGGCTAGCTGTGCAGGAGGCGAACAGATGGGATGTGTCTGGATGTGCATATTCCTATTATCGCCTCTAAGTAGAAATGCAAGCTGATGTACAATTTTTAAATGCCGTCAGGTCAGGACTGTGGGGAGGGGGCACTTGGCTGCTCCCGGGTGAGAAGTGGCTGTTTCTGGGATATCCTGTTCACAGCTGAATGGGTCCAATCTCGTAGAGGCCGGGACAACAGCAGCAATATACTGGAAGCAGAGCCTATGTTTGAGCAGAAATAAATAGCCATGGGATTTATTTTTCCAGTTGTGTTCCATCCAAACAGATGAGTGAGACACTGCTATTTGTCTGACAGCTTCCAGCTGTAGCTGCCTCAAGTTCAGAGCTGGAACGGTACCGCTGCCTGAGAGAATTTCTGGCCGCTCCCTATTACAAATAGCAAAATATTTATTAGTAGCGCTGTACTAAGGCAAAAAGCTTATCAGCTATGCAGTGTTGTTGCTGGGTTTATTAAACAAGTGGACAGGGTACTAATTTATCTCCCTTATTTTTAATGTTCATCATCATTAATACATGGCTCGTAAAATTTGGCTTGCCCTGCTGCTTATCTCTTCTAGTAAAGCCCCGGGCTCCTGAGCAAACGGGTTCATTGTGGGAGTGAAACGTGCAGCCAGTTCAAACAGGCTGCAGACTGTTGGCTAATAAGAAGCAATATTGGCTTATAAAATAATATCCCACTCTCCTAACCACGTGAGAAGAGAGAAGTTCACAAGTCTGGCCGGAGGTATGGGGCTGTTGAATACTGGCTACAACCCAGCCGCTGGCTCTCTCATCCCCCCGCAGAGCCCGGCACGGGCTGGCTGGTTTTAAGCAGGAACAAGATCTGCTGCAGCAGCAGGCAAGCAAACAGCGGCGTGCGCCTGCCCAGAGAACTGGCCCTTCAGGATAAGGTCAAGATTTGCCTGCCCTGGTAATCCATTAATCAAATAATTGACTAACCCGCTGACCAGCGCGTGCGGACTGGTAACCTGTGGGCGCGTGGAAGCGGTGGGACGCGCGTGTGCGGCCGGGCTCCGGCAGATGCGGAGTCGTTTCAAAGGCACGGTTTAACTCCTGGGGTTGGGGTTTTCTTTCCCCCTTGTGAGCCTGGTCCTAGGCTTTCCCTAAGGCAAGCTGAAGGAACTCCATGAACAGCCCCTGCCCTCTCTCCCCTCCTTCTTCCCAGCCCTTTTCCCCGACCAGAGCTCAGGTGGAGGCTTCCCAAATAGACGTGGGCATCCCCAAAAGCCTTGCGGCGCTGGGCACGGTGGCTGCCTCCTGCTTGCTGAGCAAACGAAGCTTTTGGGGCGGCAGGAAAGGGCTTGGTCTGCACCCCAAGATCCTGCTCCTGCACCGGGGTGGGCTCTCGCTTTGGTATTTGTAGTGACCCTGTGCCAACCCCGTCCATTCTGTCCCCTTTCCTAATCTCGTAACCTCCGTCTCTGCTACTGCTGCTTTCAAGCCCATCTCATCCCATTTTGTCCTCACTGGTCTAGATCTAGTTTAATAATTCCACTTATTAATGGAATTTATTCCATTAATAATTATTTTTTTCCCCTACAAAGAGACCTTTGCTGTGTGTATCTGTAGAGAGTTGTCTTGTGTCTTCCCCTGGTTTTCTCCTGTTAAACTTTCCTGTCCAGTCCTGAAATTTGTCATTTTGGTCGCTAAGTTGTTCCTTTCCAACGGGCGCTGTCCTTCCAGGCCCCGCAGCTCCTAGTAAGGGTGGGAAACCTCCTTGGTGCTGCTAGAGCCCCAGACAGCGCCGGGATCCTCTGTATTTTGGAGATCTCTGTGGCAAAGCGGCTCAGTTATCCGAGTAAACCCTTCCTGTGCCCACTTGTTCCTTTTGTCCTTCACTACATGTTCTGTCCATCAGTATTTCCAAGTCTCATCTGATTTCAGCCCATTTCTTTGTGCTAGAGGCGGGGGTGGGCAGGAAAGGTGCTGCCCCGGCGGGAGCTGATGGTGCTGGGACTTTCCTGATGCACCATCCCCGCGGCTCAGCTCCCTCTGCCCATCCTCTGCTGCTTCTTTACCTCCCTGCCTGCCCAGCGTCCTCTCTCTACCCTTTTTTTTTTTTACCTTAAAAATCACCTTGAGCCCTTCTCTACTTTTCAGGTACATTTCTGGGTGAGTTCAGCATCCCAGGCTTGGCCAGGAACTTGACAGCTTCCCCCCAAAACCACCACGTATTTCTGGCCCTGTATGTGCCCTCCCCGTGGCTGCGGCAAAGGAGAGTTTAAAAGCACTTTGTTTTGTTTGTTTTTTCTCTCCTGCTGATTTCAGCCCGAGGGATTACAGAAACAACTCCCAGCTTCATGTATCCCTATGGGACCTCGAGCAGTCAGATGGTGCTCAGAGGGGTGGACCTCTTGCTGGAGTGCATTGCTTCAGGAGTGTACGTACCGCTTCCTGGCCGGCGGCGATGGGGAGAGGGTGGTCCCCAGCCGTCCCCAGTGGGATGGCCTGGGACCAAGATCCTGAATTGCCAGTGGAAATACCTCTGGCTAGGAAAAGGGGTTGTTCCCTTCCTTTTACCTGCTATTAACAGCACTCTCATACCCTACTCGAAGCGTAAGAGCATGGAGCGAAGGGGAGAGCTGAGTTTTGCGGCACTGTTCAGAGAAGCAGGTGTCTCTGGATACTTGCTGTCCAAGGATAATTCCCCACTGGTTTGTCCTTCTGGCTATTTGCAAATCTCCTGGGTGCTCCTCACCACAGCGTACAAACTGCGGGTGAGGACATTTGCGGTCCATGTGCTTGCAGAAGCGTCCCGGGCTCGGGGCAGACTTTGGCAGCACTCCCGGGGCCTGCTGCGCGGTGCTGCCTGCGCACGCGGCCAGACCAGCGCTCTGCAGCCCCAGGCACGAGGCATGAGATGGCCCCCGCTCCCGGCCAGCGGGTGATGCTCGGGGCCCTGGTTTAGGGGCTGTGGTGGGAAGGAGGGTGGCCCAGCAGTTGGGAGCAGTCCTTCTCCCTGGGTGTGAGTGGTTCCGAGTGCAGGAGTATCAACTGGGGTTTTTTTAGGAGTAGTTTTCTTGCCTTGCAAAACCATTTATCTCCTTCCCTCTCCTTAGACCAGCACCAGACATCATGTGGTACAAGAAAGGAGGAGAGCTCCCAGCAGGAACATC